AAGATATAGCAAGACCTATATACCAAGAAATGTAACTTTTGTATCTGATAAGGTCAGCCAAGTACTCTCAGGATTTATCCTGTAGCCCTGTACCGCCTTTTGTACATTCTTTTGTCAGTGTCTGACATGAGGATGAGTCACAGCCATTGCTTGACCAATTTGCTCTCTGTGAAAGCTTGAGGAAATGTTTTTTCTCTCCATGTGATTCTCCACAGGCTCACTTTAGATCATCGAACACATTCCTCTGTGGCTCCATTATCTTCTTGATAAGAAAATTTGGAGCACAACTGAGTTACGGCATTTGTTTTTATCAGTGAATAAAAAGTGAAACACAAGTCCCACTTAGTATTCAGTACTATTTCATTGTATGGATATGGCAGATTTAATCCATCAGCTAATGAACATTTCATTACAATTTTTTGGATGTTTTGAATAATGCTATTTTGATCATGTGTGTAAGGTTTTATGTAGACATTATGTTTTTGTTTTTCTTAGATATATACCTACGAATGGAGTTGTTGGGTCATATGGTAAGCTGTGCTTAGTGTTTTGGAGGAGAGCCAGCTGTGGTGGCAGGTGCCTTTAATTCCAGCACCCTGGAGGTGGAGGCAGGAAGACCATCTGAGTTCAAGGCCAGCCTGGGCTACCTAATGAGTTGAAGGACAGCGTAGAATATGTAGTGAGATTCTGTATCAGAAAACCCAGACCAACAACCCAAGAAACCCCCCAACCCAAGCCAAACCAAAGCAAATGAAAGAAAAACCATTTTGAGTATTGGGAAACTGTTCTCCAGAGTCACTTTACATCAGTTCCCACACCCAAGTATGAGGATCCCAATTCCCACATCCTTGTCAACACTTGTTATTGTCTGTCTCTTACAGTAACTATACTAGTGGGTATGAAATAAAATCTCATTGAGGATATGATTTACTTTCCTTTGAAGATTAATGATGTTATGCATTTAAACAGTTTTTTTGATTAGTTATGTCTTGACAGTATGTAGCAATTGCGTTCGTCTTGGGGAATTGGTAGTGTGTACATATCGAATCTCTGCACTCTCCTCCCTGCCTTCCCTTCTTGAGAGCTCCTTTTCTCAGATCCCCTTGCCACAAAGTCTACTTGCCTGTTTCCTATTACCTCTTTCATTTTGCCCTTTAAATTTTTATATTTTGGGATCTTCATATAAGAGAAAGTGTGTGAATTACAGCTTTGCATCTGATTTATTTCACTTAGCGTTATAGTCTCCAGGTGGCTCTATTTTCTACAGATGACTCACATTTATGGTTCTTTATAGCCAAGAGGTACTCCAATGGCCACTTGTACTTCTGAGTTTGAGAAGTGTCTGTTCATTTCAGTTGTCCATTTTTTAATTGGGTCTTTTATTTGGGAGTATCTAATTTATTTTGAGTTTTTTCTATATTCTAGATACTTGTCTTGCCCAAGGAGTAGCATTTTTTTTTTATTTTTATTTTTATTTTTTAACATTTTGTAGGTTGTATTCTGATGGTTGGCAGTTTTCTTTGGTGTTTAGGAGCTTTTTAATGTGATATCCCATTTGATTCTTGGTATTTCTTGTATAATTGCATTCTGTTCAGAAAATCTTTGCCTATACTTGTTACTTAGAGTTTTATCTATTTCTAGGAGACTTAGTGCTTCTCTAGTTGTATTTACATCTTTGATCCATTTTGTTCTGATTTTGTACAGCATGAGAGATATGAGCCTAGATTCATTCTTTTGCCTTTTGTTAAAGAGACTTTTTCTTCAGTGTGTGTCACCTTTTATCGAGGCTCAGAATGTGGAACGTGCTTGGGGTTGCTCGTGCGTGCACTTCTTTTTCCGTGGTCAACATGTCTGCTTTTGTGCCAGTACCACACTGTTTTTAGCCCTGTAGCTTTCTAGTACAACTTGGAATCTATGCTTGGATTATTTTGGCTTTTCTGGGTCTCAGGATTTGATGCATTATCAATTATAGTGTAACATAGGTAGTCATAGATGACACATAGGTGAAAGCAGAAAAATCTGAACCTACAAACTATTAGAATTATGGGAAGTTATTACGCTTTCTGGATCTAAGTATACAGAGTACACCTATATTTTTATATACCAGTAGAAAAATATACAAAGATAAAAATTTATAAAAGCATCTAAGATAATGTATCATATCTTTTATCAGCATCCAAAGTAAAATTAGTGGGCTGGTGAGATGGCTCAGTGGTCTAAAGCACCTACTTAGAACAAGCTCAGCTAAAGCACAAGGACCACGGTTCAATCCCCAGCACCACATGCCAGCCAGCCCCGCCCCCTGGTGGGCTGAGCCGGTCACACACACACACACAAATGAATAAAATTAAAAAAAAAAAAAAGCCTAAATGTGGACAACACATGAAATTATCTTAATAAAATATAAAACTTTAAAAAAAAAAACAAAGTAAAATTAGTATAATTATTCCACATCAATTTTTGTTCTTTTGCCTATTTTCTTTTTTTTTTGTATTTTAGGGAAGAGGCTACAGGGTGTTCAGGGTCTCACTCCTAGATCAGACTCGTAGTGATCTGCCTATTTACATTTTCCCAAGAGCTGGGATTACAGGTGTGCACCACCATGCCCAGTCTCAATTGCTGTCTCAGTGCACCCTAGCACAGCAGCCCCAGGGATTGAACCCCTGGTCTCTGCGTCTGCTGAGCTATTTGGCCGGCCCTGCCTATTTTAATTTTTGATTGTATCTTCTTTTTGTATGTGTTATACTGGGGATTTGACCTAAGGAACGCTGAGCTATGATATTCTTGGCCCTTTTTATTTATTATTAAATAAAGAATAGTATTTTCTTTTACTTTTGAGACAGAATCTCTTGAGTTCCCAAACCAGCCTTAACTTACTATCCTCGGCCTCTTGCGTAGTAGGTAGGATGATGGATGCGCCCCTGCATGCCTAGCTGTTCATGATATCTGTTATTGTGTAAAAAGTACTTAAATACTTAAAAAGTATGAGCATTTTTGCATAGACATCTGTGTGTGTATTCTTTTTATATAAGCAGTAGAATACTTTACACATCTTTTCCCACTAGTATTTTTTGCCTGTGTCTTGGAAAGCACTCTGTATTATTACTCCTCTGTGTGGCTGTACCACATTTTATTCTCTGATAGGTGATCATAGGGTTATTTTCAATTTTTTGTTATTACAAATAGTGCTTCATTGAATAACCTTATGCATTTATTTTGCTTTTTGCTTTTGTTTTTGTTTTGCTTCTGTGGAATCTTTGTGAGATAATATCTTCAGTACTTGGGGTCTAGATTCTTGATAGTGAGGTGGCTGGATTATAAAGAAAGTGAGTGTGTAATTTTAATATGTTTGGTTTCCTCTCTACTATTTATACATTCTTCCAGCAACATATGAGGTTGCCTGTTTTTCCAAAGCTTTAGCAATGAAATACATTGTCAAACTGTGTCTGATACTGATCTATTAGAGAATAAATGATATCTCAGAATAGTTTTTATTTGGAAATTAGTGGCTTTTGAAACTTCATTAAAAAGGCAAGTACATGCCTACTGTAAGAAATGTAGGCAGTGTATATATACATGAAGTGAAAATGTTCCTTAATGTCCCTCTGTTCTCATTCACTGGGTGTAA